AATATGAGTTTCTGTCAGTCAGAGAAACATTTTCAGTCTCTTTTATGCTGTGACCGAGCCTCATCAGCCTGGAAAAATAATGTAGCCAATGCCAGATGCCTGAACAACAGCAGGTTCAAATATTATGTTTACCTAGCTTAACACGAATATTTTACAGATTTTTTCCTGGTTATGTTTATGCATGTTTTGACAAACTATTTCGGAGAGTCCAAATTTTCTTGCTTTCCCAGCCAGGGTTGAGTTCACTTTTACAACAGTTTTACAACTTCTTTCAGTCAGGTCTCCTTCCCATATGTCGATAAATTTTCAGTCTAATATACCCTTCCAATTCCCTGATTTGATTTTGCAGTACTTGGATTGTTGCTGTTTAATACCACTTATTGTAAATGGCTTAGTCACAGAGTATAGCCCTGTTACATTCATAACATCACAGGATGGGGCACTATGGTATAAACATCATGACTAAAGGTATTTTAGAAGTTAAGGACCACTCTGGAGTGGACAAAAACATGGCCTTTTCAGAAATAATACTAACTCATGACTGTTGGCTTATAAATAGAAGTGCTCTCATTGAGACCTGCTCAGAAATAGGTGCAGGCACAGAAAAGGTTCGTTTTTTGTTTTTCTTTCCCTCGCCAACAGACTTCTTTCATCAGAGTAATGCACGAGAAACTCAACTGACATAACCTCTCACAATGTTTTCTGGAAGTAAATTAGAGGGAAACTGTATCAAGCAAGACTTACCAATGTTGGCTTATGGTGCAACTGAACTAATCAATTCTGTTTAGAATACTTCCCAATCTTCATAAAGCTGTAGCAGATAAGCACATTGGTGTGCTAGATCACTGTGTTCATTGATTGTCAGAACTTGATGTTGCTTGCTTTATATGTTATATTTATTTTAGATTGTTGAACGTTATTTCAATTTTCTTCTTTTAAATAATTCTGATGAAGTACATTAATCAATTTTTGTAACCAGTATTTCTTAATCTGACGGTCAGAAGACAGATTGTGCCTGTCATGTAAAAAAGTAAAAATAGTTCCAATAAAAATGAAATGAGCCTGAAGAAATCATTTTGAATGATATTGATTGCTCACTGCCAATGGTGGACCTGTATGTATTCTCTGCCAAGGTCTAAACATGATTGTATTAAAAAAGAAAAAAAGAGAAAAATCTGCAAAGAACCAACCGAATTACTTCCAAGCGGATGGGGAATTTTAAAACTTTCTTTCAAAAAGAATAATATTGTTCACTGCCCTTTCTGCATGGAAAAAAAAGTTCAACTACATTTTCTGCCCATTGTCTGACAGAATCTGACAAGCCTGAAATTGCTATATAGGAAACTTTGTATCTAGCATTAATCTTAGATTTTGCCCATTGCAAGAAACTTGGACACAGGACTGTTACCCATGGAGGTGGAAGGGCAATACAGTGCTGTGAAAAAGTATTTGCCGCTTGTAGTGAATCAAATGTGGAACTTTTTGGATGACAAGGGTCCCATTACATTTGCAGCAAAGCTAAGACAGCAATCTTTAATAATAATATGACACCAACAATGAGCCACAGTGGTGGTAATGTGATGTACCGGGGCTGCTTTGCTGCTTTTGGACCTGGGTGACTTGCCTTTAATGATGAAACCATGAATTCTGCTCTCCACCACAAAATTTTGACGATGAATGTCTGGCTATCAGTTTGTGCCCTAAAGCCAAAATGCAGGTGGGTTATACAGCAGGACACAAGAGCACAAGAGAGTCCTCTGATTGCTGCTGCTGCTGCAAAAAAAGATGGTTCTGGAGTGGCTAGACAAAGTTGTGACTTGAACACGATTGAGATCCTGTGGCATGACCTAAATCAGGCAGTTCATGCTTTAATACTCACCTGCATGGCTGAAAAATCCCTCCAAAGTGATGTAAAAGACTTATTACCAGTTATTGCTAACATTTGATCGCAGTTGTTACCATCAACGGCGGCACAACCGTTTATTAGGTTCAGGGGCGTCATAATTTTTTCACACAGGTGATAAAGGTTTTCAATAACTCTTCACCTTCAACAGATGAAAAGATTTTTTGAAAGCTGCATTTTATGTTACCTCGCATTATCTTTGACTTAAATTAAAATGAGTTGGATGATCTGTGACAAGGAGGGGCTAAGGACTGAGGAAGTCAGGAAGCCAAAATCAGGGTCAGACAGCCCAAGTCAAAAACCAATGGTAGGATTGTAGTACAGAATCATGGGGCACAAATTAAAGCTGTAAACAGGCAGAAATTGGAAAAAAAAAAACCACCCTGTAGAATGCAGTACAAGACTACAGGCAGAATCCAAAAACCAATGGGCATTCAGAAGTGTACCTGGAGGGCAAACAGACACAAAAGGAAATCCAAACTCATAAAACATAACGTAGAGAGTCTAAGGACTGGAAATCAAACATGGGGGGGGGCGCCATTGGTAACCATATAGACACTAGTACAAACTCGCAACAAAAGACAACAAGCAGGGCTTAAATGGAGGAGGAGGTGATTGGGAACACAAGACACAGGTGGTGTGGGAGGCTGGAGGAAGCAAAAAGGGGCGTGACCTACAAAATAATGTAATTTCAACAATGGGGGAAACAGCAGGAAGGGCAAGACGAGAGGACGGGGGAAGATAAACACAGACATGGAAAACATAGAGAAAAGGAAAGAAAAGACATATAAATTGAATAAACAGTAATTACACTAAACCTCTGAATTTAAAAACCTAAATAATGGAAAAAAAAAAAACACTGACAATCTGAAACATTTAAATATGACAAATAAGGAAAAAGAAGAAATCTGGAAGGGGATAAATATTTAATATTTTTTTCCACACCACTGTACAGTGAGAACATTGACCAAGAAACAGAAGACCAGGCATAGAATAGTTTTTTTTTTTTTTTTTTTTTCAATCTCAGTTGCAGGTTATCGGCCTGGGTGCTTAGTTTAAGCGTATCATAACAGCTTTACAGCAGATGAGAGGGACAGATGTGTATAAATCTCCTACTCTAGGCTGTACTCATGATCAGATAAAGGATATCGGAGAGGATTATGACCACAGTGAGGGGGAAAAAGGGTGAAAAGCTCAGTTTCAAAAGGCTTGTTCTATTTAGTCATTTCTGTATAATTTATGATAGCAAATGAACGGCAAGTGAAAGACTAAGCTAGCCTGTGAGGAGAGCCATACATTGCGTGTTATTGTTGAGCAACTTGTGTCTGCACATGTCAATCACTCAACACGTCAACAAAACAGTAACAGTTCCTTGTAATTCATTTACCCTTTGATATATATCGAAAAGGCCAGCTTTTCATGTCATGCCCTGATTGTAGATCAGATTGTGAGCTGTAGATCCAGACTGTACAGTTGGAGAAAGGTCAGTGACATCAGAGCCATTTTGATTCATGCTTAATACTTCTCAGGGAAAATGCCAGACCAGTGGGAAAAAAAGAAAGGTTACTAAGTGCTAAATCAGTTGAAGTAGTGATTGTTTTGGAGTACAGAGCTTCTAAACAAATTGTCCAGCTTCAACAGCGTGTTTATGCGTGCTTTCGAATGTGAAGTGAGTGGCTCCTCGAGAGCTTTTGCACTTGCATCTCTTTTCACCGAAATCTTCTCGCAAATGGTACTGACTATTTTAAACTGGAGTGCAAAACAAACCATCTTTTTTCTCACCTCGAAAACCATTTAGCTTCGTCCTTAAAACTAAATGAACTCGTTGCTTCCAAAATTGGGCAACCTCCCAGAATCATTTACGGTATTTAGGATCTCTCATCTCCCAAATGAGTCATTAAAGGGCGGTTCCTATATCAAAGAAACACATATCTGGGCTTTATAATTCTACTACAAATTATGCATATGCTTGTTTTATGCAAGTGCTCAAATATTTATGAACACAAGATGAACACATCTATGTGAATGAATCTGATCACTTGGTCCTGTGGCATTATGTTCATTCTGGATTTGGACTCAAACGATGCAGGTACATGGTAAGTACCCCAACTGTGACTGTTGCGCGCTCTGACAAAACCCCCAAGCTGTTCCTAAACAAAACACTGAGAAGGAGAGATACTGTAGCTTCAAAGGCTTTGCTGTTGGAAACGAAGAGCTCACAGTGCGTGCCTGAGAATATTAGGCGGAAACCGACAGTTATTTCAAGTGCTAACAGTAGGTGGCATTGATCATGAAGCCAGACACCAGTGGGCAGTTGGCACAGACATTTCCTGCAGTTGGCAATGGTGTGTTATTTATCCTTGGCAGTGAATACTAGCCTCTCGATGCTTGAAGTAAGTGTGATCTACTGTACATATATCACCCTGTATAAGATCATCTTCTAAATGTCAGTACGATCATAATTATAGTCATCATATCACCAATTTACTGAGAATGAGTGTCAATTTAGGAATCAGCTTTCACTAATGCGCACTTCTGTAAAATTCTTATAATTATGCAAAGAAGTGCGGAAAAAAAACAGATACTTGTGTTGGTGGTTCTGGGTGATATAAATAAATGTTTTGGAACATGGTGCAGGCTTTAGCCTTTCAGCTAAGACTTAAGAAATAACGTCATCGCTGCAAATCTGTCCAAGTCGCATTGAAGTTCAGACAAGTATTTTTCCATTCAGTGAGCTGGGTGGCAGAGATTTCACGTTTTCCACATGAAAAGAGAATTTTGATTGTTTCATATACAGGGGATGAAGCCAAGGCCCAGAAACATTTTACCTAATATGTTATGTGGCGGGTAAAAGAAATGCTTCTATTACTGTTGAGCCAATGCAATGAATGGTTTTTTTAACCTTTTTCGGTGAAATGTATTTAAGTGAAGGACATTGATAAGATAGCAGTAGGGGAGAGTGGCATAAGATGAGTCAATTTTTACTTCAGTAGTCCTCTATGCGAGGAAAAATGAAAAAGTTGTAAAACAAATACACATATTTGTAATCCATGACATGCCCATTCAGTCGAAATCTTATGAGAGAATGTAGGAGGGCTGCCGGATAGCTCACTCGGAAAAGCATCGCACTGCAGAAGCGACTATCACGTCGCGGGTTCGATCCCCGCTTCGTACCAGCCGGCAGTGGTCGGCGGCTTTTTCAGAGTAGCGCACAATTGGCTATTGCGCTACAGGGTTGCAAATTGGGAAGGGACTGCCGGGAAGGGAAAATAATAGTCGCCTTGTTCGTTGCTCAAGTGCCTCCTGTTGGCCAGACGGGCGCTCGTCAGGAAGATTCTAAGCCTGTTCATATCCGGGTATCCTCCGCCCTCGCTCTGAACTTGCGAAGATTCAACCAATGAGTGTATAAGAAGCGGTGGCTGACAGGCGCGTGCTTTGGAGAAGAGCCGCGCACTGTCTACACCAGGGGTGGGCAATTCCAGTCCTGGAGGGCCGGTGTGTATGCAGGTTTTTATTTCTATCAATTACCCTGACTAATTGAGCTAATTGGCTGTGCACACAAACACAGATTTGCAAATAGATTAGACCAAAGTAAAATGTTACACTTAGGGAAGACAAGAACAGTTTTTGGTGGTCATTCATGATAATTTAAAGAAATGCAGCAGAAATGTTTGATTTCACAAGTTGTCTGGCTAATTAAGTTAATTAACTTATTAAAGGCCAGAAGTTGGTGTGAAAACCAGGGACAGATAAGGCCCTCATTGCCCACCTCTGGTCTACACTCTCCTGAATTGGCAGCAAGGGGTCGCATACGAGCAAGCCTTGTACATAGTTCACCAATTGGGCATTCCAGATTCGGGTGGGATTGGAGATGCCAAATTTAAAAAAAAAAAAAAAAAAAGAGAGAATGTAGGAAAAATAACTTTTTTTTACCCATAATTTAACCATAGAAAGTTCGATTGAGAACTTATTTATCTATTTTAAGGATGTCGAGGGAGAAATAGTACAGTTACAAGGGAAGCAGGATAGAAAGAAACAAGGGTAAAACCCCTTGAGCAATTTTGGGGTTAAGGGCCCAGTTCTAGGACCTAACAGTTGAATTCTTCCCAACTTCATCTCTCCAGAGTAAGTCAGAATCCGAAACCGAATTAAGGTTTGAACTGGCAACTCTTTGCGATAAAAATATGGTTGACTTCTCACAAAGTGGTCTTTTAACTCAACTTGCAGTAGGTTGGAGGTAAGTTGAGCCATGTGGGAGTAAACTGATTGACTGACTTTTTGACTGCCTTGTTCAGTTGATTTTCACAAACAAGTATAATAGCTTTACTGAAAAAAAATAATATTTCAGTTATTTATGGGAAAGGGGAAGATTAATTTTGCACTGGAGTTGTGGTATTATCTGTTAATTCACTCACGTTTTCATACACTGTCAAATTACCAATGTGTTTCATTCAACCTTTTAGAAATGGATAAATTTGATTCATTAAGCAATGATTATACAACCCTGTTTCCAAAAACTTGAGACTCAGTGTAAAATGTGAATGAAATTAGAGTGCAATTTGTGTATAATAGAAAACTGGACAAAAACAACATAACAGATTTTGAAACAGAATTTTTATTGTTTTATGAAACATATATGCTCATTTTGAACACTCAAAAATCTAAAGATGCGTCTTCTACCACAGGCAGTGGTGTAACCTTAAATTGGAAAGAATCCATTGAGAACTCTGCCACTTGTCACATATATAGAGTTGGTATTTGAAGGGGAAATAATTGTAAAACCATTGCACACCTCCAAAAATGCTCTCATTCATAGGAAGCAATGTAACAGCAATTTGGACGAAAACCGCAAAGAAATTAAGGACTAGTAGCAATTACAAAGTAGATATTGGAAAGGGGAAGAACTCCAGATGAAAGCATCTCAAAGTTTCCAAAAACACGCCTTTGCAGATTGACCCATATAAAGCATGATTAAGTGAGTTTAATTTGGAAACAGTAGGACTAGTTGCGTTCGTGAAAAACTTCACAGATGGACAGATACTGATGGACAGTACCATAGAATAGTAATTATTATTATCATTATTATTATATTATTATTATTATTATTATTATTATTATTGTACAGCTACCTACAACCCCAATTCCGAAATAGTTGGGACAAAGTGTAAATTGTGAATAAAATCAAAATACAATGACTTTCAGATCACATGAGCCAATACGTTATTTACAATAGAACATAGATAACATTTCAAATGTTGAAACTGAGTCATTTTACATTTTTATCCACAAAATGAGCTTATTTCATTGACAGCAACAAGTCTCAAAAAAGTTGGGACACAGGCAAAAATGGGCTGAAAAAGCAATTGACATATAAGAGAATCAGCTAAAAGGACATTTAGCAAGTAATTCAGTTAACTGGCATCAGGTGTGTAACATGATTGGCTATAAAAGGGATGTCTTAGAGAGGCTGAGTCTCTCAGAAGTAAAGATGGCCAGATGCTCTCCGACCTGTGAAGGCTTGCGTAAAAAATTTGTGGAATACATTAAAAACAATGTTCCTCAACGTCAAATTGCAAAGGCTTCAAAGGTCTCATCATCGACAGTGCATAACATCATCAAAAGATTCAGAGAAACTGGAAAAATCTCTGTGCGTAAGGGACAAGGCCGAAGACCTTTACTGGATGCCCGTGATCTTCGGGCCCTCAGATGCCACTGCATCACTCACCGCCATGATTCTGTCATTGACATTACTAAATGGGGCCAGGAATACTTCAAGAAAGCACTGTCTGTAAACACAGTCCGCCGTGCTATCCACAGATGCCACCTAAAACGCTATCATACAAAAAGGAAGCCATTGTTCAGCATGATCCAGAAGCGCCGCCGTGCTCTGTGGGCCAAGGCTCATTTAAAATGGACTGTAGCAAAGTGGCAAAGTGTCCTGTGGTCAGACGAGTCCAAATTTGACATTCTTGTTGGAAATCATGGGCGTCGTGTCGTTCGGGCTAAAGAGGAGAAAGACTACCCCTCCTTGTATCAGCGTTCAGTTCAAAAGCCAGCATCTCTGATGGTATGGGGATGCATTAGTGCATATAGTGTGGAACACTTGCATGTTTTAAAAAGCACCATGAATGCTGAAAGGTATTTAAAGGTTTTAGAGCAACATATGCTCCCCTCCAGATGACATCTATTCCAGGGAAGGCCTTGTGTATTTCAGCAGGACAATGCAAAACCACATACTGCAGCTATTACAGCAGCATGGCTTCGTAAGAGAAGAGTCCGTGTGCTGAACTGGCCTGCCTGCAGTCCTGATCTTTCACCGATTGAGAACATTTGGCGCATAATTAAACAAAAAGTCCGTCAAAGGAGACTCAAAACTCTCCGGCAGCTGGAAGCCTGTATTAAACAAGAGTGGGGTCAAATTCCAATGACCAAACTCAAGAAACTTGGCTCCTCAATGCCCAGACGCCTCCACTCTGTGTTAAAAAGAAGAGGGGATGCTACACCATGGTAAACAGGCCCCTGTCCCAACTTTTTTGAGACCTGTAGCAGCCATCAAATTTGAAATGAGCTCATTTTGTGGATAAAATTGTAAAATTTCTCAGTTTCAACATTTTCTATGTTATCTCTGTTTTATTGTGAATAAAATACTGGCTGGTGTAATTTGAAAGTCATTGCGTTTTGATTTTATTCACAATTTACCCTTTGTCCCAACTATTTCGGAATTGGGGTTGTAGATAGAGGGCATGGTTCAACTTACCCATTGGGTCATCATAACCCACTCTTTTTTTCTATGCAGATGAGTACATACAAAGCCTGGAGGCTGCATTGGGATAAACAATCCTCATAAGGGTTTGAAATTAATCCATGGATCTTTATATTGAGCTCACAGTATTGACTTACAGGAGAGGTGTCCATGTTGTTCTCCCCCCAAAGCCTATTCGGCCCGCAGATTTAATCAGGCCCACAGACTAATTAGCGAGGATTGGTAAGTGTGACTCCTGGTGGAATGCATAAATAAGTGCTGCTGAGAAGATACAGCCGGCGCTAATGCTATGCAGGGCTCCAGCCACGATGGACAAGGAAAATATTCACACTTTTGGCATCAAAAAGAGAGAAAGTTCTGAGGCTTTATTCCACAACCAGAGGTACTTACTTAGTTCTTTATTATCTGGATGATAAAGGATTGAAACATCTACACCGCTGCCACTGGTAGGGCTTTGGACAGAAGGCTCATCATTGCATAGCAATAACTTACACAACAGATTCATTTATGCATTAATTTTCCTCCGGAAACACTGAAAGGCATAAAGAGTCCACAAACCTTTCCAAAAAGGAAGGGTGAAGTCACTGCTGCCTTACATCATGCTATGTTCGTTTTGTATCCTATCATCGCAAAAGCCAGTTTCTGGTCGGATCAATGCTATTGTACTTAATATACAGCCAAAAAATGAAAATGCTGCCTTAGGCTGGGTAATATAAAAAAGGAGGCTCATTTTAAAATGAGATTAATAGTCAGTGATATTGTTTTGTTGACATAAAAATATTTGTTGTAATATTTGATAAATCACCATTAGACCAATACAGGAAAATCTTCAATGCACATATAGTATGTGGAATGCCCCTCCCCTTGGGCATTCCAGAACCTCGACGACCTGCCCTTATCCAATTATTCAATTAAGCCTCTGTTCTCTCAGTTAATCTGCAGGGGCTGTAACATTTTGTGTACTGTACTGTCCTGTAATACGGACCACTGTAATTACTGTCCTGCTCCCCTAGGGGACTGGTCCGGACCACTGGTCTTAGGAGCACGGACCACTGCAGTAACTGTCGTGCTCCACTAGGGGACTGGTCCGGACCACTGGTCTTTGGAGCACGGACCACTGCAGTAACTGTCCTGCTCCACTAGGGGACTGGTCCGGACCACTGGTCCGGGGTGTCTCGAGTAAGTGAAATTTTGCTTTCAGTGGCCTTGCAGAGGTACCGTCTCGGAACCACTGACTGTACAGTCCAGGCTAGGAATATTGCAATTACATTGTAAATGCCTGCTTTACCCTCAGCATTAATGTTGGGAAAATCATTTATTTGGCCGCTATCTGGATAATTAGATTGTTAGGACTGTAGGTCTAATTGTTCAAAATATTTGAAGGCAGTAAAATAAGCTAGTAACAATCAAT